GTGCTCCTTATCTCCCGTTCCTCTTCCTGCCTCAGCCAGATCCTACTTCACCTGGATCTGTGCTATCCACCTTCCTTTTCCCACCACCCAGGCCTCCATTTTCCTGGAGAACTCCACTCCCTGAGCAAGGTGCTTCCATGCAATGTTTGCACCTGCTGTGACAGAACTGCAGCAATGGAGCTGGTGGACTTGTGTCTCCTCTGAAGTATCCAGAGTCAAGAAGGATGCTGCTCTGCTCCCGAGACCCTGCAGAGCTCAGAGATTTCCAGGTCTCCAGCAGTGGAGACCTCTCCCCACACCCCAGCAGTGTCACATCAAAGAGCACAGCCTTTTCCTTTAGGCCCTGTTTGAAGTTTGCTGCTAATTTTTGCTATGCACGGAGTGGTGTTTGGCTCCTGCTTGTTCCTGGAATAAATGCTCATTGCATTGCTCTTAAATGATTGGAGACCTCCAATTTTAATCTTTTCTTCATAATCTTCTTCCAGCTCAGATACAGAAAAAGCATGTAAATTCAAAACCTGCAAGAACTGAAAATTTCATAAGTGCTGCTGACCCTTCCCTGGCAGCTCTGAATGTGAGAGAAATAAAGGAATTGTAATGAGGAACCTCATTTTTGATAACAGGTTTAGAGGACCCAGGCATTAAGTGGGGTTTCCCACATTCCTCTGTGTGTCCATGAGAGATGTCATCAGTCCTGCTGGGCAGGAACCATAATCCTGCTGCTCCTGCCTCCTTGTCATCTGCCTCTCTGTCATCTTCTGCCTCTCTTTCAATTCCTGCCTCTCCATCTCATCACCTCTGCACTGAGGCGTGAGCTCGCCCGGGGATCACCTGGTGACTTTGGGACATCCCTGCCTGTGTGGCCTCACCCGCTGGTCCCCATGCTCCTGTCCCTTTGGTCACCAAAGCCCTTCCACCCAAACTGCCCCTGTCCTGCCTTGCTCCCTCAGCTCCTGTCCAGGCACAAAGCCCACTGCTCCCCATGGCCTGCACCACATCCCTCACCTCTCCTTCTTAGAATCACGAAATCGTAGAATCGTGGAACATTCTCAGAAGGGAGGGAGCCACAGGAGCCATCCAGCTCAACTCCTGGCCCTGCCCAGACACCCCAAAAACCCCAGCCTGTGACTGAGAGCGCTGTCCAAAGGCTCCTGGAGCTCTGGCAGCCTCGGGGCTGTGCCCATTCTCTGGGGAGCCTGGGCAGTGCCAGCACCTCTGGGGGAAGAGCCTTTCCCTGATATCTAGCCTAAACCTCCCCAAGCACATCTTTTACCATTCCTGTGGGTCCTTGGTTCACCCATCCTCTGCACAATTCTGTGCTTGGGAAGGAATATTACCTGTTGTTACTTGCTCAGTGCCACTCCCCTGCCACTCCCTGCAAGGACCACTTTTCAGGACAACTTTGTGAGAGGAGGTTTGGAAGGCAGGGAGGAAATGAGAGACATGATGAGTAATAAGGAATCTTTAAGAGTAAAAGGCTCTGGGGTCAGGCAGACAACAGTGAGTGCTGGGAGCAATTTCACCTTCTTTCAGCATTAGCAAAATGAAAAAAACTTGTCATGGCTGGGATTCGAGATCAACAAGTTCCAAAACCTTTACCCTTTTCACAAGTTTCTCATGTGGTGTGCAACCCCTTTGTACTTTTAACTCAGTAAACAAATTCTTACTTTTTGTTTTTTTCTTCTGGAAAGCAGGATGATGTGTAGGGAAATACTTCCAGCTCTGCATCCAAAAACTTTTCTGGCACTTGCAGATTATCTGCAATTCCATTCTGGAAGGACCATCACAAGCAGAAGTTGTGCACTGGGGTTTCCCAAAACACGACTGCCAGGAGTTTTCACCCAGGAAAGTTAAGAGGCTTTGTTGTTTGACTGGATATTGGGGATTTTTGACAGCCTGTTGAGAAGACGTTGCTGTATGAGGGCCTAGCAAACTGCCGAGGGAGCAGAGATGAGGATCCTGCTCACAAACCCTCCCATCCCAGGCCGCAGGGGCTGGCACATAGGTCCCTGAGGAGCTGGGCTGTTGGGCTGTCCCCTGGCACTCCTCTCGGAGTGGGATGCTTCAGGATGCATCCCATGGATGGCTGGGGCCGCCTGGGAGGGACATGGTGTGGCCGGGGGTTCAGTCAGGCTGCTTAGTCCATGTTTGCACCCAAAGGAGAGAGGGAGTCCCCCTCGCAGGGAGGGGATGAAGTGCCATTGCCTTCCTCCTTTCTCCTGCACAGCAGGTGACCGCTCTGAGATGTGAGTCCTGGTCTCCTAATGTGGGACCTGCCTCTCTGCTCTGAGTCCTTCCCCTTATTCCCAGGCCTGCAGCAAAAGTCAGGGCAGCTGCAGTCCTGGTTCATCTCTCCCCAAGCCTGGCTGGCTTGAGGTGGGGAAACTTTGGGCTGGTGGCAAAGCAGGCACTTCTGTCATCCTGGGATGAGCAATGCTATTATCTCAATCCTTGATGGTGGTTTTCAAGACATAACCTATAGGACACTTCAAAACCCATGCAGAACTTAACCCATAATCCTTCCAAGAGCTAAAGCAGCAGCTGGGGCTGATATTTCTATCTTACATCAAATTATCCTGAGTAATTTACTCGGACATGATGCTAAGCGAGTGCACTAAGAGCAAGGAGAGAAGGTGGTTTGGGAATACAGCCTTCCTTGGCAGACTAAGCTGGTATGTGATCAGACAGGAATCGTATCAGGAAATCCGAGGCCGAGTTCACCATCTGCTGCCGCCAGCCCCGGAGCGCATCTGAGCCCCGCAAACCTGCGCAGGGCCGAGGGGCGGCTCCTGCAGGGCTCGGCAGGTCCAGACTGCCACCTCCAGGCACACGGAGCTCACGGAGCATCACTGCCCAGGGACAGGGACACAGCCTGTCGGGCCGGCAGCTGCAAAGGAAACGCTTCCCGGAGGGGTGACTGCAAGCCTGAGGTAATGCTGCTGTGAGCAGAAAGGAAAGCTATTTTACCAGGGAAAGACCCGCTCCCAGTGGTGCAAGATGGGATAAAATCCTCTTGGGGGACATTTAAGTAAGTGTGAAAATCCTGAGGTCTCTTTTGGTACCAGAAGGGCTTTGTTTGCTGGTGTATACGAATGAGGGTGTCCATCACCTCTCCTTGGATGGAAAACTTTGCCTCTTGACCAGCCCCTTCCCCAGGATCCTCTTCCCAAGGGCTTTCCTGCTGAGCCACATTCCCCCAGCCATCAGGATCCCTGGGTGCCAGCCCCGGCCCCAGCCTGGCCAGAGTGCAGGAGGTCTGAAAACCTGGTTCTGTGTCCTGGAGAAGTGTCTCCAGTGATGAACCTTTGCCAGGACGGCAATAATGCATCAATTTCTTTAAAAATGACAACTGTGCCTCATCTTCCAGAGGCTGTGAGCAGGGTGACGCCCTGGGCGTGCTGCTCACAGGTTTTGACGAAGCGATGCTGTAGTGGCCAGACCCCTCCCCACACAGAGCCAAGCACAGCAGCCTGGCTGAGTGCCCCTGCCCCTGCCCCTGCCCCTGCCCCTGCCCCTGCCCCTGCCCCTGCCCCTGCCCAGGGAAGGAGCCAGGCACCAGCATCATCCACCATCCACCCTTTGGTCTAAGAAATGAAAGAAAACCTTGCACATTTTGCACAATGTGGACACAAACTTGATTAATATCTGAAATAGAGTAGTGAAATATCTGTCCTCAGTGAACAGTAATAGGTCCCAGCATGCCCAGGCTGTCCCACTGTGCACAGTGAGAGCACTGGACCAGGAGCAAAGTATGATGTAGTTGCTGCCCCTGCCTGCATGATGTGATGAGGGTCTGAGCAGAACCTGCACAGGTGTGTGCACTGCACAGGCACCTGGAGGGGCAGGATGAGGTGACCTCCAGAGATTCCATCTAACCATATTTATCACTGAATGGTTTGGGTTGGAAGGGACCTTAAAGCCCACCTCTTTCCCCACCACGTGCCATGGGCAGGGACACCTTCCACGATCCCAGGTTGCTCCAAGCCCTGTCCAACCTGGAATGGGGCAGCCAGAGCTTCTCTGGGTAAAGGAGAAGGGTCAGGGTTATAGTGATGGGGAATGTAAATACAGACATTTTTGGTGACGGGGAATGCAGAGCACAGGGCTTGTAAGCTCAACCCTCAGCACTGGGGACACTGACCAGGAGCAGCTTGTCCAGCCTGAGGGCCGATGCTTCTGCAAAGGGGCACTGGAGAGAGCAGCGTGAGGGAGACTGTGGGGAAGGAAGCTCTGGATGGGCTGACAGGAGAACCTGACAGTGTGCAGGCAGGCTGGGGCAGGACAGAGCCCTGGGCAGCCAGGCTGGCCTTTCCTCATATCTGGGATGGGGAGCAGGGCTGGGGCCAGTGAACGCTCACCTCTGTCATGAAGCAAAGGCTGGGAGCATGTGAGCAGGCAGTGACAGGTTTAGACCCAACCCCACCCTGTGCTGTGGGGCCCTTTTGGTTTTACAAGGCATTTCCTGAAAATGGTGTTTTCTTTGTCCTGCAGCTCATTTGCTGGTAAATCCCTCTGAAGGGCAGCTGGAACACAGCTCAACACCTTCAGGAAGAGTTTTGCAAGCAGACCTACAATATACTTCAGCTCAGACTTCAGGAGATGAGGCCTGAGGTTTTACTGGTTTGGTTCTTTGGTGTTTTCTTCTTTCTAAAAAAAAATTCTGCATCTCCAGAAGAAGGTAAGCCTGCAAGATACCTCTGAGGTTCAGAAGAGCCTTTGCACACGAGATATCTTGTTCTTGCATCATGTCCTGCATGAGATGCTCCTACGTAGCAATGGCTTGGTGGTTTTGGGGAATCCTGTCCTCCACAGCACCCCTCCCCCGGGAGCCTACAAACATCCTCTAGGCTCTTCCCTGTCCCTGTGGGCCCATCCCATGGACACTCTTGCTTTGCAGAGAAGCATCCTTCACTTGTTGGGAGGCTTTCTGCAGCAAGGGAGGTGGTGACTAGCTGAGCATCTCAGTGCAGCTCAGTGACAATAACAGGCAAGGAGATGGATCACGGAAAGAGGGATTTTTATTGTCCAGGGGAAGTGCACACTCTGAACATAAAAGGGAAACCCTGCCCCACCATCCCCATAGCCAGGAGCAGCCCAGTGACCCCACACTGCAGGATCTGACTCATGAACCACCTGGAAAGGGGCCATCTGGCAGCTCCCAGCCTCAGATCCTGCAGCCCATCTGACTGGGGTTGCCCAGCAAACCTTAAGGACACAGGTGTGGCACGGGTCTGACCTCTGCTCTCACCAGTGCATCCTTGATGGAGTCCCAAATGTTGGGAAGAGAGGACAGGGCCAGGACCAGCCCCCTGTGCTGCAGAGCTTGGATGAGCTTCATCACATCCTGGCTGTGGGGAGGGAGTGTGCCAGGGCTGAGTGCAGGATGCAGGGTGCAATACAAATGAAACAATACATTGCATCTGTCCCCCTTACAAAAAGCTTCCATAGGAAGAAGTAAAGTACCCGCCATAGTCAGAGAATCCATCAGCACACAAGTGCTCTGCATGGAAAGCCAAGCCAGCCCTGGACAGACTGGTTTAGCCAGGATTATTGCAGCTGAGAAATGGCTTTAACCCACCCCCCACCCCCCTTGTGCCCAAACAGGCCTGGCAGGAACAGCCCTCCGGCCACATCCCACCAGCACCTGCATTGAGTGATGCTGGGTTTGCTGTGCCCCTGGGAAGGACAGGGTGCTGTGGGTCAGGCTGGGCCCTGCAGGGAGTGTGGCTCCTCTCCAGTCTGTGTCCCCTCCTGTCACCCCCCCACCCCAGCCATGCTCCCAGCAAGTGTTTTTTTTGCAGTGAGTTCAGCCCCACAACTGAGGCTTCTGTGCTTTGAGACCATTTTGTGTACTTAACATCCTATTTCAGTAAAACAGTTCCCAAACCCATAGAAAATTTTATTTACACCAAAAGGAAACCCAGAGCCCACAGCCTGCCCCACTCTCCAGTTCATCTGCCCCTCTGCACCCAGCTCAACCTCTTGGGCCAGCTCCACACATCTTTGGAGTCCACTGCTCAGCACCAGGCAAGCCCACCCAGAGAGATGCTCCTGTGGAGGACAGACCACTCTGCTAGACACTGAGGTCACCAGAGCCTCCGTCCCAGCCACAGGATGCCGTGATTGCATCTGGAAATACTGTCAGGACCCCTCCTCTGCAGGTGATCCAGCAGCCCTGGGCACTGGCAGCCAGGTGATGGCACAGCTCTTGGGTTTCTCTAGGACAATGCAGGAACAAAGAAGAGTTGTTTCTCTGTCCCTCCTTCATGTGACATGGGAGCACACTCCCATTCCTCTCTGTTCTGGGGGAGGCTAGGATGATTCTGCTGGCAGAGAAACCTGAGCTTGTGGCCCTAGAAAATATGTCTGGGCTGCCTGGAGGGCTGTGCTGGATCTGTGGAGGAGTAGTGCTGGTGGGTTAAAGAAGTGGAGAGTGTCCTGCAGCACTCCAGGGCTTCTTGGGTCTCCAGGCTGAAGGCCCTGGACAACTCTCCTCCCAGCTGGGAAGTATGGTCTGAAGGCAGAGCCAGCTGTTCCTAGCACTGCCATGGTGGATTCTATCTCCTGCCCTCCTGCTCTTGGTAGAGGTGGAGCACGAAGTCACCTTCAGGCTGGTGCAGTTCAGGAGGTCCAGGCTGGAGTACGCTGGGTGGTACAGGAAGCAAGGCTGTCTCTGCTGTGTGCAGTATGTGGAGCCCTGCTCAGTTCAGAGATCCAAGGAACTCCCCAGCTGCCTGATCCAAAGGAGCTGTGTGCCATGGCAAGCCCAGCCCACTGCTCCTGGTTATTGCTGATGTGTCTGATACCCCTCCACCTGCAGGAGCAGCTGGACCATCCCATTGGGTGAAGGGGTTGTCTACTGTCCTGCATAGTTGTGGGGAGACCCCCAGTACCACAGGGAAATAGCAGAGTGTGTCTGCTTGGAAGGCTGCTCCCCCCTTCACCTGGGGGAAGGACGCAACAGGACCACCAAGGTATCTGGAACACCATGTTTCCACCAATGCTGAAATCACAGAGCTGCTGGCAGGGCTCCAGCTCCTGGTGCCCCTGTTCCTGCTCACCACCCTGCAGCCCCTTTGCCAGGGTAAGTGTTAAGGAAGGCCTGATGCAGCTCTGCACAGCTTTTGGTCAGAGATGCCTCCTGGGGCCATTTGTATTCAGCAGCTGGGATCTCATGGCCTGGATACTGCTCAAGATCTTCTTCTGGTGGCCCATCATGGTGATGCCCAGACTCCGAACATCCCTGGAGAACAAAGACACTGTCAAAGACACCTGTGCCGGGCCCCAGGGAGACAACCACCCCATGGACCAGCCCAGGAGCCTGTGCCTGGCTCTTCTCCACTTGCACATCAGCACAAGGCTGGTCCTGCTGAGGGTCCGTGGACATCCTCCCAGGGACAGAGAGGCTGCCATTCTCTTGGACATGTGCTCCTGACAAGGCCACTGTGACAGCCCTGTGGGGAGTAGGAGGAAGATCACTCCTGACAGGCTCGTAGGTGACAAGATCGATGCTGTGAAATTGGATTCAGTTTTAGTGAGATGCCCTCAGATAACCCAGTCAGAAGGATGGATGATGAGCCTTCCCCATTCAAAAGATTCTCTGATGTGCATGAGAAACAAGGATCACCATCAGCTCAATCCCAGAGCAAAGGCCCCATGTACAGCCCCGATCAATGCACATTTGTTTGTGTCTCTCTGCCTTCCCTTTCACTGCCACAGGAACCAGTCTCCAGCAGCTCCATGCCTTCGGACAGGGAACAAGGCTCCTTAGAGGCTGAACAGGCTGTCACTACTCGTAACAGTAAGGGATGAGTGATGTATAAGGGTATAAGGGCAGGAGCTGGCATAGTTGCCTTCCTTTTTGGTACTGCTTGGATGCTCCACCTTAGAAACTCTCTAGACAGGTGAGAGATCAAGTTCCTTACAGCAGGAGGGTGGTGAGACAGATCTTCTCCAGCTCTCCTTACTTAACCCACCCTTGGTAATGTGTTAATGACCTTCCAGTGATGTCTTCCTCCTGGCTGCACTGAGCAGGGAGCCAGTCCTGTGCACAGGGGTCTGACAAAGCTCCAAGGTAATGCCCAGCTAAGATTGTTTCCCAGTGATCCTAGACAAGCTGTGCAGAATAGCACAGCCACACTCTAGTCCAGAGGTGCCTTCTGCAGGAAAAACAAAGATGAGAAGCACAAGGAGACAGCAGCCTCCTGCCTGACCCTGCTGTGACCAAGAGGTTGGGTTAGCAACTCAACCTGGAGCACCTTGCAACCTGAATTACCTCCTATGGGCCTATGGTGACATTGGAGAGCCATCACAGAGCACTGGAGGTGACTCGGAGTTCACAGCTTCTCCATACAACTCCCACACCTTCCCTCAAAGTTCAGCACAATCTTGCACACTGCCCCAGGCCTCAACACCGTGTGCCTAGAGATACATCTCGAGCACCAAGGACCAACTAGAACAAGCCAGCAGAGGCAGGATGGTCACTGTCTGGGGCTAGCGGGTTGGTGCGGGGACACACAGACAGCGCTGTTTGTTCCTGCTACTCACTCGATGTTCATGCGCATCACCATGCCCAGGGAGGAGTACCCGGCCATGGCAAAGTTGTCCCGGTAGTGCCCCAGTCGGATGGAGTCCAGCCAGTCCTCCACAGTCAAGCAGCTGGTCAGGTCGAGGAGACCCCTGTCCAAGCGTGTCTGGGTGAACCTGGGAGCAGAACACAAGGGTCAGACCAGAAAGGTGGGTCCAAGGTGACCAGGCTGGGAGGGCCACCTGAATGCACCTATATAATCAGGAGAACATTAAGGCTGGAAAAGCCCTTTAACATCATCAACTCCAACTGTTGACTCAGCAGTGCAAGGGCTACCACTAAACCATGTCCCCAGGTGCCACATCCACACCTCCAGGGATGATGACTTCACCACTGCCCTGGACAGCCTGTGCCAGGGCCTGACCACCCTTTTTGTGAAAAAAAAATTCCCTAATACCAAACCTAAACCTCCTGTGGCACAACTTGAGGCCATTTTATCTTTTCCTCATTCCCTGGGACCAGAGGCCAACCGCTGCCTGGCGGCACCCTCCTGTTAGAGAGTTGCGAAGAGCCAGAAGTTCCCCCTGAACCTCCTTTTCCCCAGGCTAGCCCCTCCTAGCTCCCTCAGTCTGAAACCAGGGTGCTCCAGACCCTTCCCCAGCTCTGGACACACTCTAGCCCCTCCATTTTTGTCTTGTCATGAGGAGCCCAGGACTGACCCCAGGATTCAAGGTGGGGCCTCACCAGTGCCCAGCACAGGGGGGAAATCACTGCCCCAGTCCTGCTGGCCTCATTATTCCTGATCCTGACCAGAGGCCATTGGTCTCCTGCCCACCTGGGCACATAGCTGTTACACAGCTAATCTCCAGATCCTGCAGAGCAGGACCGAGAGAGTCCTAGCAGGTAAAGGCAGGGATGCTGCTGCATGGACACTGCTGCACTTCCTTGGCCTTGGCATGGGGATGCCATGGTGGGAGCAAGGCAGTGAAGTGCAGGAAGTTCCTCACTACCCACCACAACCTATGTCCACGGGCCCTGTGCATGTCCACGCTCCCAAGGGCAGGCATTGGTGCTGCAGCCAGTCAGAACTGCAAACCACATGCTCTGAGCAGTGTCACATCATTCGCCCCTGCTGACACGGGCCTTAGGGAGCCCTCACCTGTTCAAGGTGCCTGTGCACTTGAGATTGTCCGGGTTGCGGATCAGCTTGTCCAGGACGCCGACAATGTGGGCGAAGCGAGGCCTCTCGCTGCGCTCCTTCTGCCAGCAGTCCAGCATCAGCTGGTGCAGGGTGGTGGGGCAGCCCATGGGGGCAGGCAGGCGGTAGCCTTCCTCCACAGAGTTAATCACCTGGAAGGAAGCCACAAGCTGCAGAGGAGCTGCACCCCCATCCAAGGGGAAGCTCCGTGAGAGCTGCTGGGGCCATGGGATGGGAAGCAGAGGGATGTGCACAAACTCCACACTAAACAAATGAATGGCTGCATGCAGGCTCTGTGCAGAGCTGGCAGCAGGCTGGACATCACACGCATACAGGAAATCAGTGCTATGACAACAGAGTTGTTCAGTGGTCCAGTGGCCTAAAATATTGCAGCTTCCCTCCAGCAGACAAGCCACGAGGGCTGCACTCACACTCAGTTTTTCTACAGCCAGGATGTGGCACTGGTCGGCAAGGTTTCAGAGGAAATACTGCTTGAAGAAATTTCGTGGAGGAGGTAGTGTAAGCCACTGCATTCATGCCCTACTGTCACCAAAGCCACCACAAAATAAAAAAAAAAATAGGAAGAGAGTGGACTCCCAGCACAGGGGGAAATTTATAGTACTCATAGGTAACAAAAGGAGTCCTATGGTTCTGCAGAGCCAAAATACTCATTTTACTGTCTCCTATGGAAATTTTTCCCTCAGGTTGTGGTCAGGATTATAACATACATTTTCCTTCAGATTTTATGCTACTCTTGAGGTGAGAATGGCTCCACACAACTTGGACAAGCCCAAAGCTTGCAGCTGGGTGGTGCTAGCCTTGAGGCTCTCAGCAGCCTCATTTGGACAGTGCAAGGGATGGACGCCCAGCACTGGAACTGGCAGGCTGCTGCAGTGGGGCTGCAATGATCCTAGGGAAGCCCTGACCCCTTCTGGGGACTGGGAAATGTGGCACAACATGAGCTGACTCTCTCCAGCCAACAGAAAGGCAGGACTGTGGACAGCCACAGCCAGTGTGGCAGTGACCTCCCTGCCTGCGTTTGTACCGGGAACTTAACCAGTGTCCCCAGGAACGGGGCAGGATTGGGAAGGGCCAGCAGGCAGGTCAGTATATGAGCTCTGGCCACTCCTGGGTGCCACAGGACTGCAAAGGCAAAGGCTGTGCAGTGCAGGGATGGACCGCTGTCACCAGAGAGGGGACATGCACGCTGTGCACAGCCCTGTGGGGATGTGAAGAGAGGCAGGAGCTGAGCACTGGGCCCCTGTTCCCAGGCCCCTGTGGGATGGCCTGGGGAAGGGGCAGGAGGGGCAGGCTTGGCACCACTCACGTCCCGGTTGGTCATGTTCCAGTAGGGCCGCTCTCCGTAGGCCAGCACCTCCCACATGACTATTCCATAGCTCCACACGTCGCTGGCCGAGGAGAACTTGCGGTATGCAATGGCCTCAGGAGCTGTCCATCGGATCGGGATCTTCCCGCCCTGGAAAAGGGAGTGAGAGTGGAGGCTCAGAGCAGGCAGGGCTCAGCACCCTGAGCTCTGCAGCTGGGACAGCTGTTGGACAAGCAATGAGCTCGGGTGACATCTTCTAAAAAGGACTGATGAGGTAATCTGCCCAAGATAAACCCAGAGGTGTATGTGAAGGACGACTTCAAGGTATTTCCAGCAGAGCAAGGGCAACACTGTGCTCTTTTACAAGGTCTTCATGCACAGTTTGGTTCCCCAGTGCTCAAGAGACAAGAATTCAAAGTGATGAAGAGGAGCCTGGCCACCAGAGCACACAAGCACAGAGCTGACTCTCTGTGCAAGCAGAGAGTCTGACTTGAGCAGGCAGGGAGAGTGATGGGATGTGCTTCCTGTCCTTCCCTGCTTTGACAGGCAAGGACTGAAAAGGCAGATGCATTCAATTAAAGGACCATGCTGACAAAAATCGACAATATGTGGACTAAGAATGCTTTTAAGCTGGAAATGTGGTTGCCAACCATCTGAAGAGGAAAGTTGCAGTGTAGGGGACATTGGGTGGGCTTCCCAGAGCATCTGAGGCAGGAATGGTGTGCCATCACCATTCAGGGATACCCGTGTAGGGAGTGTTGCCTCTACCCAGCTGAGTCCTGCCTGCTCTGGCATGTGCCTTGATAAGGACTGAAGATGAACAATGTGTTTTCTGGGAGAGTTCCTTGGGTGAAGCAATCTCCTGAGCATGTTGAAGACAACACAGGAGGAACACAAGTTTCTGAACACAAAAGAAACATCATTTGCGGGGTGCCCTGACTGAGACCTCACCAGAGCTCCTGACTCTGCCACTGCATCCTTGTGGTTCAGCTCTGCCCACACTATGCACTATCCAATCTTCCTCCAGAGCAACCAGGTCTGGTGGGTTTCACTGCACCAAGGTACCTCAAAGCACCAGAAAACAAGCAGCAGGAACCTTCCCCAAAGTTAAATTTTCTGGAATGACATGCTATTTCTTGAGATACCAGAAGGAGCAGATGAATGCATAGACACACACACAGTGAGCCACTTTGGCTCAGCTTCTCCACTTTGCTGAAGCCAAGCAAAGACCATGAAGGGCCACGTTCTTTAGGCTGGGCCTTGGTGTGCTTATCCCTCAGAGCTACAGCTGCTCTGGGACATGCTCAACATCAGCTGCCCCAAAGAAGCCTGAAGCTCTTTCTGCTTCTGTAGTTTTGGTCTTTCTGAGATATGATGTTTGGACTCCTCCACTACAGCTCCAAAATAGCCCCCATCAGGAACTATGATGTGTTCCAGGAGAGCACACTAATTCTTTTCACGGCTAGAGAAGAGCAAAGAGAGCTCATTTTATTTAGCATATTCTATGTATTTCATGAAAATGTATTTAATTTGGCTCCTGATGACCTCCCATGGAGGAGGACATCAAGAAACAGAGCTGCCAGGTTGGCCAGAAAAATCTCAACATGGTTTCGCAGACAAAAGTGCCCTGCATGAAACAAAACCACAGGTTGCAAAATCAATTCCCACTTTTTCTGCATCCATGAATGAGGCAGAGTCACATGGAAAAAACAGTGTGTAGCCACAATGCTGAAGGGTGGACCAGAACACCCTGCTATAGATTGATGACTCTAGGACAGCTGAGGAGTGGATGGAGCTACACAGCCTAGGGAAGGACTCCAATGAGGACACAGAGACCACAAACACCCATGGGAGCATTGGCTGGGGATGTTTGATAACTCCCTGTCCTGCCATCCTGCTGCTCTTTGTTCACTGCACACTCAGTTCTGGGATGTCCCTGTGTGAAGGACAATGCATTAAGGCTCAGGAGCTCTTTGGGTTTAAACTGTTGGCCCAGATATCAGCAGGAAGGGATATCAGCATTCCTGCCCTACCTATTTTGACTTGAGTGCTGCAGCAGTCAGAGGCCCTGCAAGGCCTCCCTGGCAATCACTCACCTAAGATAAGAAATGCCTAAGTCACGGTGACTGGACCAAAGAAGCCCCTCTTCCACATTCAGACCCTTGTTACCTCTCTGTAAGGCTATAGGTCGTATTCTCCTCAAACCTGGCAATTGGACAATTTCCAATACCCCTGCACCCTATATAAACCCCCATTTCTGCCCTGTTCAGCGGAGAAGAGCTGTCCCTGCCACCTTCACTGAAATAACGGGACACCGCTGTGGAACCGCATACAGCCTTCTCCCTCTCTCTCTCCCCCTGTGTGTCTGCCAGAGGCACTTGCAAGCACAGAGCGAAATCACCAAGAGCTGAACTCACAGAGCTGAAATCACTCCAGAGCTGCTCACTAAGTTTGCTCACGGCTGGGAGCTGAGCCGAGGGACCCAGACAGGCTGAGCCTGACAGCGCAGCGCTATCCGGACACCCACGGCAGCGGCTGCCCGGGGGCCAGGCAGACCCCTGGGACCCCAGGCTGCCTTAGAGAATCTCTGACTTTTCCATGAGACAGAGGTCTGGGGCAGCAGCAGGGACCAGCTCTGTGAGCCACCCACCGTGGTGGTGTACGCAGCATCGGGGTCGTCCTCCAGGATGCGGGAGAGGCCGAAGTCGGACACCTTGCACACCAGGTTGCTGTTGACCAGGATGTTGCGGGCAGCCAGGTCCCGGTGCACGTAGCCCAGGTCAGACAGGTACCTCATGCCTGCCCCAATGCCCCGCAGCATCCCCACCAGCTGGATGATGGTGAATTGTCCATCGTGTTTCTGGAAAGGAAATAACCCAGAGTGCGCCTGTGGTTCTCACCACCATCCTCTTGGTGCTGCTGTCATTAAACCAGTCCCCCAGTGCCTCTTGTCTTTGGCTTTGTACCTCCTCTGACCCCAGTGCCTCCTGCTTGTACCCCTGCCCACTTCCTGCCCTCTCAGTGCCTCTGACACGTGCTCAGGCTGTTGTCCCTGCTTTTGCAGCGGCACTCCAGGGAGCCAGACACCATGCCTGGAGCCTGTGTCTGCTGGAAAGGTGACAGCCCAGCACCCACAGCTCTCTCTAACACAGTGGCTGTGAGGCTGAGGAGCAGGAACCAGCCCCAGGGGATGTGCAGTGAATGAAAATACAAACTTGCTCCTTACCCTGAGGAAGGTGTCTAGCGAGCCGTTCTCCATGTATTCAGTAACAATCATTACCAATTTGCCTGCAGAAGACAAGGGAGGTCAAGTTAGCAGAGAAGTCACCTTCCTCCAGGAAGCCCCATGCCAGGTTTTCACTGGGAAAGACATTAATTGAGGTCTGTGGGTCTTCTGCAGCCCCTCAGGCTGCTGTCAGCCCTGCACTGGGCAGGACTGGCCCAGTGATGAGGATGTGGGAACAACCCAGACAAGTATCCCTCCCTCCAGGTGCTATTGATATGGCTGGGTCAGTTTCATTACCCTGCTGAAATTTGCATGCCATTAGTGTAAGGCTTTGCATCAGAATGTGCCTTTTTGGAGAAAGACTTCAAATTATGATTCAATACAGGCAGCCTTTAAAATAAATGCCTTTGAGTAGGACATCTCCCAAACCAACAACGATCTGGAGCACACTGCAGAGCATGGTGTGGAACTGCCATGGGGAAGTTTGTTCTGGAAGAGAAGGCAAAGAGGTGGCTGTCCCATGTAAGTGCACAAATCTGAAAAGCTACTGGGCCAGTGAAGGATGGAGTGCACTCGAAAGTGAGCCCTGACCCCCATCTCCCAGGCTGCCTGCAGGGAGATGGATCCCAGTTCTGCTCCGCCATACACTCCCTCCCCTGCCAGCCACATACTCCTGGTGACCACCCCCTCCAGGTGGATGACGTTTGGGTGGTCGAACTGTGCCATGATGCTGGCCTCACTCAGGAAGTCTCGCCTCTGCTTCTCTGTGTAGCCTGCCTTCAGTGCTTTGATGGCCACGGGAATCTCCCTCTTCCCTGGCAGCTTCAGGCGGCCGTAGCACACCTCTCCAGACTCCCCTGCAAGGCAAGCAAAGTGGGGGCATGGAGAACTCCTCAGCTTCTTGCACTCATCCACCAACACCAGGAATCATCCAGTCTGTCAACATACCCAGAGCATACCTCAGCCCCTCTGGGTTTCAGTCTGGATTTCAATCCCCTCCAACCCCTCCAGGATTCAATCCTCTGAAAGGATTGATCAGCTCTTGCTTCTAGTTCAGGAAGGGTGGGAACATCAGAAAACACCTCTATACGGTGCCTATCACTGAAGGCAATGGGCCAAGGGCAGTGATTACAGTGGCACTTCTTTTATTGCTTTTAATGAACAAATTTGAGTACCTCAGGGCAGCCAGGATGACCTTCACCATTCCTCTGGGTTAGGCCCTCAGAGTGCTGCTGGTGAAGTTCTAGCTCCAGCTCTGCACTGTACTTTCCCCAAAGCCCCTGTTCCTATGCAAAATTCCCCTTTCTTCTGCAAATGTGCCATTTTGCTTGCAATTTCCATTTGCATCTTGTCACTCCATTTTTTTTCATGGGTGCATGTTGGGACACCCATGGGGACAGGCTGAACCATCTGCTGTGTCAGCCTGAGCTGCCACTCCCACACCTGCTGACCAGCAACCCCCTGCACCAGGCTGCTCCAAAGGGTTTCTTTCCCTCCCCCAAACCCCCGCTCTATCCAAGTTTTTGATCTCACAAGGATAAGGAGCAGATGAAGCCCTGCTGAGCATGGCTCTGATCCCAGCGGGCCAGGGGCATGGCACAACCTCAGATCATGGATTTCCCTGAGCAGACACCATGCAAAGGGGCAACTGGGCACCAGAACTCACCAGACCCGATGACCTTCTCAATCTTGATCCGGGAGGCCTCTATTTCACGGGTGAGCTCATGCACAGCTTGGCAGGGGTCCTCGTATGTGTGGGGATCCACATAGAACTTGGACTCAGGGAACTTCACTGGGGTTTCAAAGGGGAGAGAGGGGATCAGCACTCTCAGGCAGCCCTGCTGGGAGGAGGGACACCCAACCACAGGGCAGAGGATGGGCAGGGGCAGGACAGGCTGAGGAGCCAGGGAGATGCAGCACAAAGAACCCTAAGTCATGCTTTGGCACAGCAGTGTCCTCAGAGCAGTTCAGGACCTGGCTGCCCAGGTGTTCTCCATGTGATTGTCCCACTCCATCATGCCCCACCCCTGCCCCTGGCCTGCTGCTCTCTGGGGTGATCCTGCTTCACTCGAAGTGCAGAGTGTAACCCCATCATCAGGATGCCTCTGGGATCAGCTTGCCCACTCAAGTCTCCTAAGACATGTTCCCAGAGGAGGCAAGATACAAAACCCTTCCTCCTGGAAACCACAGAACTGTCAGGGGATAACAATCCATGCCTGCCCATCCATGGGGCTGGAGTTCTTCTCAGAGGGTGTCCTACCTTGCCCATTCTGATAATGCATCTTCTCCTCATCAGAGTCCTGGAAAGCCTTGCTGTACCCACAGTGCCTGCCACAGGAGGACAAGGGTCAGAATAGAAGCCCCCATGCCTCACTCCCACAAGCATTCCAAAACCAGGGTAGAAGGCAGTGCATGCTGGGACTGTGGGCAGCCAGAGAAAACCTTGGTCATCCACCAGGTGCATCCCTACGTTGCACTGGACTGACACTTTGGTCTGGATCAAAATGCTCTCCATGTGCTCTCCAAGGCTTGACAGTCCTAAAAGCACATGTGTTCCACATGCCTGATTCAGCCGTGCTCATACAGAGCACATAGTCTCCCTTGGATCTGTCTGCTGTAGAAAAGATCTCTCCACCCTTGACCTACCCACCAGTCCATCTAGTCAGCTCCTGTACCGGTAGTAGTTCTGGTACTGGTATGGCTATTGCTCATGCTACTGATATTCTGTATATTATATATTACAGTATGCACACACATTTATTACTATTCATCCTGCTAGAATGAAGGCAAGATCTGGAGACTGGCTCTGCCAGGGAAAGTGGTGACCCTTAAATGAAGTCTCCTGGCTGCTTATTAACCCTGGACCTACAGATGCTCTGGACAATCTGAAAGGAGAAAAGTTGTGCCCAAGTTCTCCCATCCCTCCTGTCCCTGTTGGAGACCTCCAGAAAACACCACTAGCCTCCACAAAACCCTTACCTCTTCTTGCAGATCAGAACCACCAGCAAGGTGACAAGGCCAGTGATGAGTGTCAGGCAGATCCAGACAATTGTCATCGTGTCGTACCGGAGAGACACTGGAAAAAGCAGGGTAGGAAGGGGATGAGCTGGAGTGGGGAATTCACTGCTGAGCTCAGGAATGAACGTACCCCATGATCTTCAAATACAAAGCCTTGGACTGACAATGCAGTCATGGCCTTTCTTCAAAGATGAAGCACTGACCCACATATTCCCAGTTGTGAGCCTCTCCCAGTGTACAGGGACCATTTATATGTGGGAAAACCAAGGAGAGATCTGAGAAAGCCATGGTGACACAGCAGACCAGTACAGAGAGGATACTGGAGCCTCAGGACCTCTCCAGGTCTTCCCTACCCTAACTACTACATCCTTCCTCCCTCTTCTTTCTGATGTATAAGCATAGAATCAGAGAATCATCAAGGTTGGAAAAGACCTCTAAGATCACTGAGTCCAACCATTAACCCAGCATGGCCAAGGCCATCACTTAAAGATGTCTCCAGGTACTGTATCAACAGATTCATTGAGCACTTCCAGGCATGGTGACTCTACCACTGTCCTGGGCAGCCTGTTCCAATATCTTCTTTCAGTGGAGAAATATTTCCTATTATCCAACCTGAACCCTGTTTCAACTTGAGTCTGTTTCCTCTTGTTCCAAACATGTCAGGAATGCAACCTCAAGCAATCCCTGCAGGCTGAAACACTGGGGAGATGTGCCTTCAGGCCCCCTCCCTGTGTGGGAGAGGAACAGTGGAGAAGGGCATCACCAGGCCCCATGCTCCCTGCCCCACACTTCCCACACCCTACACCTGCACACACTCACCCGGCTTCCCCGTTTCCACCTCCACAGTCTGACTGAACCTCCCGCAGCCAGCAGAGGTGCGAGCGCGCACCTGGAAGATGTAGCGGGTTGCAGGCTTGAGCCCAGAGATGGTGGCAGTGGTGCTCTTGGATTTCAGAGTTGAGTAGCTCTGCATTTCCTTGTCCTGGAGAAAATCAACAACAAAACCTTCTCTGCATTAGCACAGCAACCACAGAGTCTTCCAAAGAAGCCCCTTGTGCAAAGCTGGCTGATAGCAGGGGGCTCTCTGAGAAAATGCTCAGTGTTACCTTCTCATAGTACTTGATCTCGTACTCCAGGATGATGCCGTTGGGCTGGTCCGGCTCTTGCCACAGCAGGGTGACACTGTTCTGGCCTGTGCTCTCCTGATGCACCACCACCACCTGTGACGGGGCTGAGGACCAGACACAGGGGGTTAAGTGCCTGCTGAGTGGGGGCAGCAGGAGACAGCAACAGAGAAGGGTGGAACCAGAGCCCCAGGTAGGACCCCTGGCTTAAACTTGTTTTCTGGTTTAATTAAAGCCATGTGGAGATGAGTGCTGTGATGGGGATTGCAAACAGGCTTTTCCTTGTTTTGGATGCATCAGTCTCTTTCCCATGGAGTAAAGCAGTTCTGAGAAGATGAGAGGAGGGCACTGTCCCAGCACAGGCAGGAGGGGACATGAGTGATTTGCTGTGATCTGGAGCCAGAAAGGAGAAGGACCAGTGTGGTTTCAGGTCGTGGAGATTGTGGAGGCCAGTGGGCCCACACAAAAAGTGTCCATTATGGTTCTCTTTGAATGGACAGACCCTAAGTTGGAAAAATCTCCCCTGTTCAAGGCAACTGAGCAGAGAGTCTTCCAGGATGCTTTGTTGTGTATGCAAATGTACCCTGGTTCTGCCTCCCTGGTTGGTCTGTTGGCCTCTCCGCCCCTTTTTCCTTATATGCATATGGCCTAGAATGTTCTCCCTTCCCTGCTTACCCATTGGCCCCATTCTGCTGCAGTGTCCCACCCCCTTCACCCTATTGACTGCCACCCTTGTCCCGCCTCTGTATCGCCCTGAGCCCATCAGCCCTGACGCTCTGCTCTGCCCCCCTTGTCCCCCGTATTTAAACTTGGACCCTCCACTGTTCCTTTGTCTTTGTCCGTGGACGCCCTTCGTGCGTGGCTGGAGTAAACCTCCTCCTTGGAACTCCACACAAAGACCCTTCCCACTTTGCCGTTGGTGGTTCTACAAAAGCTGCCAGAAGTGTGTGCTTGAGTGATTGTGTGTGTTTTTGCCTGTGCCACTGAACATCTTCGTTACTGGAGACACTTCTGGAAGGTCGCAGCACTGCTGCCTCTTGCTCACCACCAATGGGCTGACGGCTCTGACAGGAGATCCCTAACAGCACTCTGTCCCCTCTTGTTCTGCCTGGGGTAAAGGGAGAAGGGCATGGGAAGAGGGAAAGGGGAGATGATAAGTGTGGTCAGGGTCTGAGCACCAGTCTAAATTTGTCCTGGGGGTTCTCTGCTGCCCTGGGATATTTGTCATCTTCCCAGTCCTGAGCTGGGAGCCTGTGAATCAGTTCTTGTACCTGTAGCCATGCCTGAACTGTAGCTGTCAGAGCTGGAGGAACCAACTCACCAGCCTCTTTTCCTACTGGGAAAATATCCACTGGAAGTTACCCAGAGTGTAGTGGGTGCTGTGATGGCCAGGTGCAGCCACAGGGTCTGACTCACGGGAAGGTTTCGGGCCCCACTTGTGCGCTTCATTGTCAGGTGAAACATGGGATGTGGCATCTCTGGGCAAGACAGAACTGCGGTGGCTATGGCTGCAGTGCAGGGATGTCACCAGAGCACCCCAGAGACCAAAAGAGGCCACAGAGACTGCAGCAGCAATTTTAGCTCTTGGGGGCTGGCTCTTCTGAGAGGCAGAAAATGCTGCTGGTACAGAGCACCCTGTACCAGCAGGAGAGATGGGACAGGGTGGGATGGTGGGAATCAGTTAAACTGCATGAGCATGGGCAATGCCTTTACTCCAGACAGTCCAGGGAATCTGTGCTGCATCTGCCTCATGGGGCTGGGGGGACAAGGGTGACAAGCACCCAGGAGGTCCCCTCATGCAGTGTTCCCTCAGCTCCCTGGAGGGCAGAGGGCTCTGTCACGTGCAGCAGCTGGAGCACAGTAGCTGAACTACTGAATTCCCAACCCTGCTGCTTTCATAGCACCTACTCAGAATTCATTTTGCAGCTGAGTGGTCAAAATAGAAATACTCAGCACTTCCTGAGAGCATCTCCATCTGAGGCATCAGGCTGAGGCAGCTCATCAGTACTTGGAGGAATTGTGAGGGATCAAGCCAGCGGGACTGAGCTGTTTCCACATGCTGCAGAAGTGCTACAGGCTGGCATTAGTGACAAAGGGACCTGTTCTCATGCCAGCCATGAGCTATCCAGCAAGCTCCCAAGTTTCTCCCACTGGTATCCCTGCCATGAGACCAGAAGAGGCTCAGAATCACAGGAAGTTCTTGTGGGCTCATTTCAAATTAGGAGGACTGACAAGGAGGGTCAGTCCCTGCCCTGATCCCTCTGCTCACAGTGTAGTCCATGCAAAAATGCCACGGAACAAAGTCCTATCCTACCTGGGCTAGAGCACTGCTCAGAGGAATTTCCTGAGGAAAGATAATTTTGGAGTGAGGAATTTGCAAAGGCGAGACATGCATGAGAGAGACTTTTCCCAGCAAACATTCCTGTCACTTGCCGGGGCCTGGCATTGGTGTGAGGTAAGAGCAGAGTATGAACTGCTGCCTGGCCCTTTGGGAGGGACAAAAAATGAAACATTCATACTCCATTTAGTGTTCCTGTCAATAAACAAGTGTTCTCCGTGTCCCCTGTCTCCTGCAGAAAAGGAGCCTCCAGCACTGTGTGCAAGCTGAAGTGAAGGGAAGGGAGAAGGAAAAAGGACACCATGAAGCAGAAGCAGAGAAAGGTAGGAGTTACCTTGGGCAGCAACTTGTCCCCAGCCTATCCCAGTTCCCTGAACCCACCTCCATCAGCATAGAGGACAGTGGTCCCATTTCTTGGCTGTCCCAAGCCCATCACCAAACCAGCCCTTCGCTGCTATGGCAGGTTCTGGCTCCTGCAGACACTGCCTGGAGCAATGCCGGAGCAACATCAGCATCACCTCCACAGGCCAAGGGGTGGGTCTGCTCCTCCTACCTGCCTGGTTTGTCGTGATGTTGGCAACCGCGGCTCTCCTGGACTCCAGGCTGAGGTCGGAGACACCGTTGACGGCCTCCACCCAGAAGGAGTAGTTGGTGTGTGCCAGGAGGTTGGTGACAGTCAGCGCTCCCTGCACCAGGCTCATCTGCTGGGGCACGAAGCGGATGCCGCTGCCGCAGGCCTCGCACGGCCCCGCGTCCCCCGCGCAGCGCCGGCACAGCACGTTGTACACGATGTCCGCACGGCCGCCCTTGTCCAGGGGCGGGCCCCACTCCAGGGTCACAGAGGTGCCGTTCACACTGGAGATCAGGTTCACGGGAGCAGAAGGGGGCCCTGGAAGTGAAGCAGGCATTCAGGCAGAGCGAGGGCTGCTGGAGTATTGGAAATGGTGGAGTGTGGGACCAATGGAGATGTGCCTTGGGCAGCAGGACCTGAGTTCACAAACACTGCTGCAAGGACATGGAACTGCCCAGAGCAGCAACTGTGCCGGACATGAGAGAGCAATGACACAGGCAGGCCACAGGGTGAAATGCCTTGGAGGTAAAGCAGTCAGGATCAGGATGCCAAATGCCAGACAGCAAGAGCTGATGTTAGTTCTTGGGGAAGCAGGAAGCAATGGTGAAGCATGAAGATTTTCAGAGAGAGCCACAGTTGATGAGCTGGATATGTTCACCTAAAGGGAAAGGTGAACTCACATTTCCTTGGCAGGTTAATAAACTTGGGTGGATATTCCTTAGGGAAACACAAGTCAGATGCTGCATATCCCTCCTTCACCTCAGCCTCAGCTTGCAATGCCACACCTATCTGTCCTCCTGGACCAACTGCAGAAAGGAGGACTCCCCCTGGGATGTTCTTGTCCCCTTTTAAAAGTACTGGGCCCCTCAAAGCAGTCTATTGCAAAGCTGAGCTAAGATGTATAACAAACCCTGGTGTCACTCTCCACCCACAGAGGAGGAGAGCACAGCAACATTTGCACTGACCCCATGGCTGTCCAGGGCTGTCTGAGCACCCAGTGCACTTCTGGGAAAGGAAAGCTGGGGTGGGGCTCCATCACTTCTCCCAGGTAACAAGTGACAGGACAAGAGGAAATGGCCTCAAGATGTGCCACAAGAGGGTTAAATTGGGTATTTGAGAAAATTGCCTCAAAGAAAGGACAGTCAGACATTGGAACAGGCTGTCCAGGGAAATGGCGGAGTTACCATCCCTGGAAGTATTCCAAACAATGTGTGGATGTGGCACTTGGGGGCACGGTTTAGTGGTGAACGTGGTGGTGGTGCTGGGCTGATGGGTGGACTTGGCAAACACAGAGGCTTTTCCAACCTTAATGATTCTGTGACTCTCTGACTCTGGTCAGTGGTGTTTGGAGCAGCAGGATGGGGGTGACACAGAGGCAGTGAGGCAGTGCAGCTAAGGAGGGCTCTCAGCTCACGTGCCAGCCAGACATCCAGGGTTGTAGGGCTGGTGGAGCATCTTGGGCAGCAGGTACAGGGCCAGGGGAGAGGGCTGGGCTCAGCCAGGAGTAGCAGCCGGGTCTAAGGATGCCACACGTGCCCCAGTGCAGCACAGGCCAGCCAGGGGTATTCAGGAGGTACTCAGGGGGTACTCAGGGGGTACTCAGGGGGTACTCACGTGTGCAGGCAGCCGAGGGGGGGTCCTGCACGGCGCGGTAGAAGCTGCTGTCACAGTGGCACACACGAGCTGCCCTGCTCTCCGAGTGGCTGTGCAGGGGACATTTGGCACACAGCTGGTCCCCAGGGGCTGATTTGTAAAATCCCAGCTGGCAGGCTGCAGAGAGAAGGGCAGAGGTCAAAGGGATGTGCCTGGATGAGGACCATCCCACAGCTCCAGCACAGAGTTCAGCTTTGTTCTCATGAAGTGCACGGGAAACCAGCCTTTCTCCCCTGCACCTGGGTGAGCCCCCTCCAGCTGCTCATCTGGAAACTGGGCTCCGTGGAAACTTCTGTTCCCCCAGCTGCACCTACTGCCATCCTGACACGTGTTCCCCACTGCTTCACAAGCAAACTTGAGTGCCTCTGCTGTTCAGGAGCTGCCTGCAAAGCTCCAGGTGTTCTTGCCCCTATGCCTGCTGTCCAGCTACTCTCTGCCCTCAGGACAGAGAACACTGCAAGGATCAAACCATGCAGCTCTGGAAATCTATTGGCAACTACTCCAAAATACCGTTTATGGAGCAAATTTACAACACAGTCCTCACTTCATGGTGGTTGCCACAAACACTGGCTATGCCCAGGTTCCCAAAAGCACCTCTGTGGGAGGTTTCAGAAATTAAACCTCCACATCTGAGACATGGTACATGTCCCTCTGCAGGACCCTGCGGTGCTGCCACACTGAGCAACAATTACCTTGCACAAAACAATAGGGCAAGAGCCTCTCTTGTTGCATAGTGCAGCAAAAAGGCACTGCATGCCTGCTGCCCTCTCTCTGGAGGCAGAGGGACAGTCAGGCTAAATGACACAGCCTTGGAAAGAAGTTTTTTTCTGATGATCCAACCCACCTGCATTTCCTCTGCCTCCTCCTGATGCAGGAGCTCATCCCACACCCATCACTCTGCTTCATCCTACCCCCTTCTCCCAGCAGCCCCTCACGTAGATCACTTGTCACACAAACAAACACCTTGTCTTTCATTAAAAAATCGATTTGTTCAAGAGTGACATGTGGCATGTCAGGTATCTGTCTGGCGGTGGAAGGATCTGCCCTCTCCTGCAGACTTAGATTCCAAATAAGGGAAAGTAGGTTCTGTCTGGGTCCCTGTACTCATGAGGTACTTTCAGGACCGGTTCTAGTGATTCAGGGATTATTCCTGACTCTGAATCATCTCTGTTTTTTCCCACTGAGGTAGTAATACCTTCATTTTCTCATCTTTACCTCCAGTGGCCAGACCTGCATACAGCCTTAATTTTTGCTTTCAGGTATGTAAAAGGATTTTTTTTTGTGATCCAGCATCCTCAGTGGGCTGTGTCCCTCCATGCTGTTTGTTCTGTTTCAAGGTGTTGATTTTTTTTCTTATTAATAACACTCCTTTCCTTGCCACAGATCTCCCTTGACTGGTTCTATCAGTATATTCCACCTATCACACACTGCACAGTGACACAAGGGCCTTTTTGTAACTGAGCTACTCTAGCAATGGCAGAAGGCAGTGCTCCAGTCACTCATCCCTGGTGTGGGGAGCACTTGCTGGTCCCTCTTCAGGCTCTGCCACCAGTTTCTGTGGCACTTTTACACCAAATTCTCTGTTAACTGCAGAGGAGTGATACCACTGGCAGGACAGACACGTGCTGCACGTGCCAGAGGTGGTACCACAGGCTGGTGTCACAGGCTGGTGTCACATCTTGGTACAGCAAAGGCCAGCAGTTCCAGACTTTGTTCCTAAATTTCTGCTTCTCCACTCCCCAGAGGGCATCAGGGCAAGGAGAAGAAATGCCTAAACTTGGGGATGCAAGGGAAGGCAGATGTGAAATGGCAGCAGCTAGGGGCTAGTTTTGTTTCCCAGCTCTTCTGGCACCTTTCACCTCCTCAAGGGCATCAGGAGAGGAGAGAACACAGGGGATGCAGATTTCAGGGGAGGTTTGCTATCCATTTCCAGCTAGACTGCAAACCTCCCAAGGACAGCCTCAGACATTTGGCAGGCTCTGGTTCTGACTGGTCCTGATGATACCAAGAGATTCAGGAACTCTGCCCTTGCCAAGTGCCCCCTGATGCAGCACCCTGCAGTCTGCAGCCCATTGGTTTTGGGTGTAAGATGAGATGAGCACAGATGCACCCTGTTCTCATGCAGGGACAAATCTGGGAGGCAGCCAGCTGGTGGAAAAAAACCCAAGCAAAATCCAAAATAAATCAGAAGTAAGAAAATTTCCCAGTTTTTCTGTGTGGGGAAGAATGAAGACTGCATGACCACGGATGGGAGCTGGGCAATGGGACAGCCCCAGTTGGTGCTGGGCAGGTGCAGGACAGGGACTGCTGCTTTTAACTTGTGTGAATGTCCCTTGGACCTGCAAACCATCATCTCTATCCATGCAGCAACCAGCAACTTGTGACTTCAGAGGCACTGGAGTGGTTCCCTCCACCACTATTTAATTAGGGCAGAGAAATCAGTGCTACCTGAGGTACGGAGGAGACAGGCAGCAGGAAGGATGGGAACACGAAGCACAGCAGTTTTGCACAGAGCAATTGTAATCACTTAGCATTTAATGCTGTAAAAAACCCATTAATTACCTGTAGCAATGAGTCACAATTATTTTAGATGCACTCAAGGGGAAAATTATACTAAATGACAAATTACAGGTGAATTTGTGCACCAGGGCAGAGCCATCGGGAGCCAGCTCCCAGCACATGGAAGCGTGAGCACACAGGGAGGACTGGGGAGCACCTGGTGCTGTGACAGGCACTGCTTGGGGGTTCATGCACCTCTGAGTGTCTCAGTGCCCACTTTAGAGGGAAGCAGGACACATGTGCAAAGCTTTTCACAGGCACAGGAGAGGGCACCAGCTCAAACCTGCACATAGTATGGGATGCCTTCAGTATAGGATGGCAGGCTCTGGACTGAGCTCTGTCATGCCATGCCAGTGAGATGTGTAAGACCAGGACCTCCCAGGTTAGCTCTGGGAGAGCAAACAGCAGAGAAGTGACCAGTAGGAAAAATTCAATCAAGTGCAGCAGGCCTGAAACACACTGGGCTCCACAGCCATGGTTGTGGCACATACAGAAGCCTCCCAAATCTGCAGCCACCCAGCAGAGAGGTGCAGAGTGGCTGTTCTGCTGTCTTCATGGCAGTCAACTATAGCCACCTGCCAGAAGTGCCCTCCCTGGAGCCCTGGGGAAGGTGACATTTCTTTTATTCCCACTATTTGATGTAATTGACACCCTTGCTCTGAATCTGAGGATCTCAGGTGAGATCTCTTTGTGAGCCACCAGAAGTGCTGCAATGTCCTCAATGCCAGCCCCGGCTGCCTGTCCCTGCAGTTTGTTCTCACATGCACAGTGTGGTTTTGCAGTGCTCCTGGGACAGGAGCAGCCTCCACCTGCCACTCAGCTCAAGACTTGCACACTTACATTGTCCCTGTGGCCCAGACACCTGGGTGGTCCTCGTGTCACCAGCAGAGCCTACAAAACCCAGTGCCGAGCCTGTGCTTGGCAGAGCACATCTCTAGCCCTGTACCGCACAAGGGAGTCCCCAGTGATCACTCCAGACCTGTCTGGTCTATCCCATGGGGCTTCCACTGATCCCCTCACCCTGCACTGCACACCTTGCCCTTTCCCAGCCCACCAGCCCCACTCTCATGCATCACCTGCCCAAAGAACCCCACAGCACAGGCTTGTCTCAGGAACAGTGAACGTGGAAGGGCCCTGCCAGCCATCTGGAGCTCAGTCCATTTGTTTCACTCCCTCTCCATCATCTGGGGACAGGACAACATCTGCTAATCAGCTGGCAGAGCTCAAGAGATGATGGATGGACCTGTCAAGGATAAACTAGCAGGGAATGAGCTGCTCCTCTCCCTCTCAAGTGGCTGCCTGGAAGCAGTGCTCTGCAGGTGGCCCTGGTGGGCCCCAGTGGGGCTGCAAATGTGAGCACTGCCCCCATGTCACTCTCTCTTGGCTCTGTTCTCTGCCCAGGAGGTCTGGGCAGGGTGAGGGCATGGCTGAGGGTGACATGGGGCAGCTCTGTGACACTGGTGCCACCCTTCCTGACCCTTCAACAGATCTGGGCATCTGCAAGCAGCAGAAGAGCAGTCATGTATCTCCCTTTGGCCATGCTGGGAAGAGATAGAGATTGAAATAAAGGTGTCACAGCCACTGTGACAGCCAGAGACAGGCACCAGTCCCAGAGCCCCCCAGGCTGCACAAGCCGGCACAGAAAATCCAGCCTCCTTTCAATCCAGTTCCAGCATGATGCCTTAAATCTCAGCTCCCATATGACACAGACACTGAAACAGAAGCCAGTTATTCTAAGTCATGTCTTAAAATGACACATTTGCCTCATTGCCCAAAATCTTCTGTTTTAGTAGGGCTGTGCTCCCCTTTCCCTGCAATCCCAGGTCAGCCCAGGGTCTGGGCTGTTCAGTGGCCTGGAGGGAGTCTGGGGGCCTGGCTGGGCTGGTGATCTCAGTAATCTCCTGGTCCAGAGATGATGCCTCGTCCTCCAGCCCTGCTGGTGCTCACGTGCCCTCCTTGTGCTGCTTGTCTCCACACTGCCTCAGCCCTGGTCACCTCTGGCCCCTGAGCACCACATTAGCCTGTCCACAGCCCCACTCCCACCTTGCAGCCCCTTTGCACAGTTCACAGATCTTCCCACTCCCAGTACAACCCATCACACCACTACACACCCCTGAACTTGTCTCCTATCGCCCCAGACTCCACCTCTTATCACTTCCCCACTCCTTGGCCCTTCTTCTCACAATTAACCCACTTCACACCCCATTGTACCTGAGTCTGATTTCAGAGGGGGAAACAGGATGAGTTTTTTACCCATTAAGTCTTTGCAAAGCCAGCAAGACCCTGTGCTTGGGGCTCCCAGCAAATGGCACGCACAGCAAAGGACACCCTGCATCCTTCTTGGTAACACCCAATTTCACTGCCACCAGAACAAGTTGTATTTATGAGGGTCCTGCCCTTCCAAGTGGAGTAATTCCACTTGCAGTGCTGGAAAACTGGAACCACAGTTGTACAGACTGGCTGCATCCCAAACTGGAAATCTTCATGATGCTGCCACAGAAAAATCAGCAGGTGTTAGAGTCACAGAATCACTTAGAATCACACCTCTAGCATAGAAT